TGTAGGCGTTGAAGCGCTGCTGGTGATAGGTTAGTTGATCTAGATTATGCGGACGATATCGTCTTGCTTTTCGACCATGATGCGGCGGCACAATCAACCCTGAATAGCTTATCCAGAGTGGTCCCATTATTTGGTATGCACTTCGCACCCACAAAGTGCAAAGTGTTGCGGCAGGACCACCAGCCACTTGATGACCCCTTGACGCTTGCTAACGAAGAACTCGAGGTGGGTGATCACTTCACTTTTCTTGGCAGCTGCATCAGCAATGATGGGCGCATACATACTTACGTCAGCTCACGCATTGCAAAAGCCAGAGCTAACTTCTTGAACCTGCGGCATCTTTGGCGACAGAAAGGAGTTTCCTTCCCTCTGAAAGGTCGGGTATACAAGGCCACAGTGAGGGCCATTCTGCAGTACGGTAGTGAGACTTGGCCCCTTCGGTCTGAAGATATGAGGCGCCTTCAAGTTTTTGAGCATCGTTGTCTGCGAAGCATTGCTGGAGTCGGATGGCACCAGCGTGTCCGCAACGATGATGTGCGTAGGCGAGTACTAGGTGGTGATAATCATGCTTGGTCGCTAGAACAACAGATAGCACTGAATAAGTTGCGTTGGCTCGGGCACGTGCTACGCATGCCTGGTCACCGCTTACCCAGGAGGGTCTTGTTCAGTCTACCAGGTGTAGGGTGGCGCAAGGCTCGAGGTAAACAGAAGTTGACTTGGCAGCGGGAAATGAAGTCACTGACAACTAAACTGGGTGCCGTTGGTCCGTCTCGCCTTCCAGGCTGGAGTCCACGTGACTCGACTTGTGCTTGTCTCGAGACTTTACAGGACATGGCTCGCAACCGACACCAGTGGCGCGTCTGCTGCCATCTCCTAATCGGATTGTCTGTTTAAAGTGTGTTTGGTGGTGAGTCATCTACGGGGTAATGGCTGATTATGACGCGTGGCAGTGAAAGCCACAAGGAAGCTGTCTCGCCGATGCCGCCTTATTTTTGCATGATAGCCAGCTGTTTGTGACGGAATGTTGTCTACACAAGGTGTAGGCGCCTTGACCCTGAATGTTTGCTTAGGGCACTAAGGTTTTCAGGTAAGTCCCTCTTCTCTCCCTCTTCTTATTATTTATTTCATAGGTCATCATGGTTGTGGGGCAGCGAAGCATCAGTTCAAATAGCTGATGTACCGCTGTTGATGATGAGGAAGACTGGCATACCTCAATGTGTGCAGTTTACTACAGATTGACCAACAGACAGCACTTGGCCGAACACTAGAGACCTTATCAACCGACGCGTGCTGCTTAGTAGAAACTCACCCGCAAGAGTCGAGTTCTGTACTTATGCCGCGATCCCCAACGTGCGAAATTGGAGGTATCATCTCACTGCGCTTGTCCGATGATGCAGCTTCAAATGCTTGTCAAGCCGGTACGGACATTGCTCTTAGTCCCTGGGCTGAAGCCGTCCTGATCGATTAGATCCCAATGAACAGCCGGATGTGCGCTATCAGATAGGCTGGCTTGTTCCAAACATCGAAAGTACGAGGGGACAAACGGTGTCTGTCTGCCATCGCGTCCTATGTGCCTGCAAAATGTAGCGCTGACTCCGTGAGAGACGACTTTTATCACCAATTGAAAGCGCTCTGCTGTCACAGAAAAAGTACGGGTACTGTGGCGCTGGCTGGCGATTTGATGAACGCCTAAAAACGCTAACTGACGAGCTTCATTTGGGCGGCCAACACGGTGTAGACTCCCGTAATGATAAAAGTGAACGGTTGCTACACCTGTGTGAAGATGATCGTCTCTTTCTTGCGAGCGCTAATTTCCGACACAGTACCCGCAGAAGAGTGACGTGGCGCGCACCAGCGTCGGATCAGCCATAGACGCAAATTGATCACATCGCGACAAAGTATCGGTAAGAAGGTTGCCTGCAAAACTGTCGTCCGATTCGGAGCACGAGCGTGGAGTCTGACCACCCAATTGCTTGCGCCGACCTCCTGGTGGGTTTCAATTGACGTCTGCAACGGCGCTGTGATCGTATAGATACTTGCCAACTGGCAAAGCCAGATGTTCTGAATGCGTATCAAAGTACGCCGGCATCTGACCTGAGTAAACGCTCAACGAACACAACTAAAGATCACTGGTCGCACATCTTGCAGACGTTATTGGCAGCAGGCATGTCTTCATATGGTAAATCAAATTGCCTACCTATACATTAAGTCTCCACCCAGTCTCCAGAAATTCTGGATGATCACCGTGTTCCGGCTGGAAGCGAATACAATGAGACACAGGGTGAAACTGCTTGCCAGCCTGAAGAGATACCGCTAAGAGTGGCGATCTCATGGAGCATTGGAGATAGAGACAGATGCTCTTGGTAATCACAGGAAACAATTCTGTCTGATAAGAAAAACGAGCAGCAGAAAACCTGGTTTTAGCGAGACCCTATGCGACGAGAGTGGACAGCCGATTCACAGTTTGTAAGTGTCCTGGACACTAGGCCGAACACTTTGAGAGGCAGTTCAGATAGTCAGAACTGACAGCTTCTCGATCGGCCAGTAAGCGCTTTACGCACTGAGCCATCCCGTTGGAGACGCCCTCACGGGCAGAAATGGAAGGTGAGAACAAAGCAACTGGACCAGATAAGCTTCATACAGCCCTCTTCAAATTCGAGGAACTTGGTCTCTTGGATGATTTAGATAGGCAATTAGTGAACTTACGGGAGCAAGAGACAGTTCTAACAAACTGGAGACTCTCTTTATAATCCAAAATTTCAAGTGAGGATGCCATTCGGAGTTCGGCTACCATAGAGGAAGCAGTCTGATCTTCACTACCTCTTAAGTTATTTGCCTCTGTCGTTCTCCATAGACTGACTGGCATCCGTAAAAGCCAGATGCGCGAGGAGCGAACCGGGTTTCATCGAAATCGGGGCCACATTGACCACATCTTTACTTTACGTCAGTTGTTCGAGCACCATCATGTTTATTGGCGACCCACTTTAGTCGTGTTTCGAGACACCAAAGGTGCCTTCGGTTCTGTTGATCGATCTGCCTTTTATGACTGTCGACTGAGGAAAGGTGTGTCCGAGAAATATGTTAATGTCATAAGAGCGTTGTACAAGCATAGTTCGGGCAGAGTGAGGCCTTACTGTAAACTTTTGCCGCACTTCAATGTCCCCAACGGTGTGAGACAAGGTTTCCCACTGTCATCTTTCCTCTTTAACTTCGCCATTGACGAAGTCATGTAAATCGCGTTCACTGGAAACAATTTGCGAGACGCGGAGCTGCTCCCAGGTGATCACCTGCTTGACTTGGAGTACGTCGACGACATTACCCTTATCTGTGACAGCTTTCAAACGTGCCAAGTGGCATTGGACAAATCAGCATTGGTTGTCAGTTGTTTCGGGCTATGTTTCGCACCGTGGAAAGGCAAAGTCCTTCTGCAAGATTGGAAGGGACCCACTGCTGCGCTGATCTTTGGTGGTGATCATCTAGAAGTCCTCGAGAAATTCGTGTATCTAGGCAGCTATATCAGAACAAGCGGGATTGAAGATGATATCAAAAACCGCATAGCAAAAGCACCAGGCACTTTTACCAATGTCCACCACCTGTGGCGCCGGCATGAGCTTAGTCTTGCTCTGAAGGACAGAGCTTACTATGCATCCATCCGTTGATTCCTCCTGTACGGTTGTGAAACCTGACCCATCAAGTCGACAGACTTAAAGAGGCTTTTTACGTTCGATCACCACTGCCTTCACAGCATAGCTCAAATCTGGTGGGAACACCGCGTTGGTAATGAGCGTGTTCGGCGTCGTGTATGTGGTGCAGAAACATCGAGTGAAACTCTCAGCACCAATACATCACGCACCAAGCTCCGGTGGCTAGGCCACGTGTTCCGCATGCCATCCTAGCGACTCACGCGACGTGAACTGTTTGCACGAACGGGGTCTGGATCGAAGAAGAGGGTATGCCAAGTGATGATTTAAACAAGGGGAACAAAGCCCCTCACTTCGAAGTTGGCGTCGGTTGGTGTTTCCCGACTGCCAGACTGGGGACCGAAGGATGATGAACGCGTCTGGCTGGATACACTAGCTGACAGAGAAAAGTTAACCCCAGTGGCGTTTGTGTTGTGAGTTTCTTTGTCCCTGTTATCTCTTTTAGCTCCCTCTACCAACAACAATCACAAACCCTATGCGTAATGTGATGTGTAGCTACTTTTTTGCCTATTTAGTCTGTATGGTTTAATCTAGCTTTTTTGTATAGCGACACATTAGCCGGGGTGTGTTTCTCACAGACGGAAAACGTGTATTGATGATAATGAAGATGAGCCGTTATAATTTGTAATGTTAATCCCTTATCTTTTCGTAGTGCGTCACACTGGCAAAGGTGTTTCTCACTCTCAGCTAGGGTGTATTGATGATGATGATGGATGCAGAAAGGGTGGGAAATTTGATGAAAAGTAGAAAACCAGAAATGAGTAAGCAAAACCGCGAATGGGTGTCTTTGCGGGCATAACACTACAAACCTGGACAAAATATTTCAGTATAAGTAACCGCATTTGCGCCTCTTGAGAACGCCATCGAACTGGTGATTAGTATCTGCGTGCTTCTGCCCTCATGAGATGTCAATAGTCGGTGAGAAAAAGCAGCTTAAGGCGTGCAATGCTTTGGACGCTCCGAGTGGGTTTTAAGTGGAGCGAATTTTAACGAACCCAAGAAAATCGAAAACCGCTAAACTGCAAAAATTGTACCTTAACAACATGCTACTTCTATTTTGTTAGTAGCCAACAAGGGATGTCTAGAAATGGCCGTGTGCGCAGACATACAGAAGAGCACGGGTGAGGCTTGGTATGGTATGAACAGCGGGGACGCGTCACAGCTGTGTGCAAACAAACAGTGACTAGCAAACAGGTAAGCGCCAGATAGCTATTTCATTTGTCCAGGATATGTATCACTGCACGGTTCCATTCATAAAAGCACAACCATAATTCGCAACGCGATGTAAAACAAACTTACATGTTTGGTGCATTTTGCTCCACGCAAAAACTGACTGCAGTATTTTGTCGTTCCTAAAGACACCCTAAGTGGCCTTCCATGTAGCATGCTTTGGTCAAGCTCCCGTATGGAACGCATAGCGTCGTCGGAACGGCAAAATGTGATGTAGGCGCTGAAGCTTGGCTGACCCTAGAAGTGAAAAGGGAAGGACAGGAAAGAGTTATGAAGCACAGAAAAGAGTGACGGGGAGAAAACATTCTCTGCGTACAGCCGCTAGTAGTAAAACGTCAGTCACAGAAGGGATGGAAGCGGACAGTCAAATGTAAGGATTATCGAAACGATCTGCCGTTAACGGAAAGAAATAAACCAGTCGAGAGAAAAAACAGTAATGAGATACAGCCCGTATAGTTAAGACTCTTGAAAATCATCGTCAACAGTAGCACATCAGCCATTTGTACTGATGCTTCTCTGCTATACAACTACGATGACCTACGGAATGAAAAATGTTAAGAGAGAGCGAAGAGGGACCTGAAGCAAACCTTAGTGCCATAAGCAAACATTCATGGTTAAGATGCCTACATTTGTCAAAAACATACCCTGCAAGGATAATGTGACTTTGGCGTGACAGCTCATATGCGGCTTTCACTGCCTGGCAGCAACAGAGAGACTGAAAACAAGCAGTCCGACTACGAGATGAAAGCAGACACGCCAAAGGTGCCGACTGCGAGCGCTGTCCCGCCTAGCGCTCGCCTACGCATATCATCGTTGCGGACATGCTGGTGCCACCCGACACCAACAATGCTTCACAGGCAACGATGAATAATAATAATAATAATAATAATAATAATAATAATAATGTGTCCGCTGTACGCCCCAAGGACGCTTCGTTGCTGTGCGGCCACCACCAGTCACACGCTGGCTGAGTTTACCGCGAGGATGCCCATCCCTACACGGATCTGAACCCGCACCGCAAGATTACGAGACAAGCTCGTTACCTCAAGGCAACGATGATCAAAGACTTGAAGGCAGCGCAGAGAATCAGATCAATGGGGCCAAGTATCAGTCTCGTAAAGTAGGACGGCCGTCACTATGACCTTGTAAACACAGCCTCTTAGACCGACCGAAACAACTTCCGATCTCACAGATATCACAGATTCAAGAAGGCAGTCCTAGTTTGTCAGTAGAGTGGACTGACTGCAGCACTTATGCCTCCGTGGTTGCTGATACAGCTGCCAAGGTAAGTGAATTGATCAACTATCTCGAGTTCGTCGTTAGCGAAATTCAAGTGGTCATCAAGTGGCTGGTGGTCCTGCAACCACTGCATTTTGACGATGCAAAGCGCACGCCAAATGATGGGACGACTCTAGAAAAGTTATTTAGAGTTGTTTGGGCTGCCCCAACATCGATAAACAGCAAAACAATATCGTCCGCATAAAAAAGAGAAACCAGTCTTCCACCAGATAGCACCTCAATGCTTGCATCATCAGGCACCGCGAGGAAATACTCTATGGTAAAGTCCTTGACGAAGTTGCACAAAGATGGGGAAATAGGCCACGTTGACGAACGCCACTTGTCGGGAAGATATCTGGTAAATCACGGCAGACCCTGACGCGGCATGTGGTGTTTCAGTACATGGCACGTAAAATGTCCATATATTTCATGGGAACACTTCTCCATATAAATTGCTCAATGGTTAAATAAAGAAATTTCTTAATCTCGACCATGTGAGATGCGCCTGCATAAGCATACTTATAGCAATACAAACGCGAAGGATGGGTTTCCATACAAAAATAGTATGGGTTAAACAGTTATAAACTGCATTTGTGCGTGTACATAAGTGGGTGGGTTTAGGTGGACCGAATGATGAGTCGAACGCATCGTTGAAGTCCAGGAACACAGCTATCGTCGGTCTGCGTTATTCCTGGCACAGATCTAGCACCCGCCGCAGAGGGAATATATGGTCTATACAGCCCCGCCCAGGGCGGAAACCAGCCTGCTATTCCTTAATCCGGGGTTCTCGTTCCGCAGTGAGGCGAGGAATGAGAATGGAGGATAGTAATTCCGTCATTACCGGCGGTAGACTAAGATTCTTTTGGTTATTACAGCCAGTGCGACTACCATTCCGGTATTTGCCACAATAAGTGATGCATACAAGTAAGCTGGGATGGTCTCTTCATTCCAAATCTGTTCCAAAAGGGAATTAATCAACACTGTGAGAACACACAACATATATGGTTCGTGGCATCCGGTTTCGGATTTGCCTGTCACTGTGGCTAGCCACAGAACGCCTGCCCATACAGAGGGACCATGGGTGGCTTGTGCTGCACCACCCTCAACTCTATCCACACACCCCATTTCCAGTGTAAACCCGAAGGAATAAGACCGGGAGGCATGTCATCATCATCATCATCAACAGCAGTACATCAGCCATTTGAAATGATGCTCGCTGCCCCACAACCATGAGGACCTATGAAATAAATAATAAGAAGAGGGAGAGAAGAGGGACTTACCTGAAAACCTTAGTGCCCTAAGCAAACATTCAGGGTCAAGGCGCCTACACCTTGTGTAGACAACATTCCGTCACAAACAGCTGGCTATCATGCAAAAATAAGGCGGCATCGGCGAGACAGCTTCCTTGTGGCTTTCACTGCCACGCGTCATAATCAGCCATTACCCCGTAGATGACTCACCACCAAACACACTTTAAACAGACAATCCGATTAGGAGATGGCAGCAGACGCGCCACTGGTGTCGGTTGCGAGCCATGTCCTGTAAAGTCTCGAGACAAGCACAAGTCGAGTCACGTGGACTCCAGCCTGGAAGGCGAGACGGACCAACGGCACCCAGTTTAGTTGTCAGTGACTTCATTTCCCGCTGCCAAGTCAACTTCTGTCCACCTCAAGCCTTGCGCCACCCTACACCTGGCAAAATAAAAAGTCCTCCTAGGTAAGCGGTGACCAGGCATGCGTAGCACGTGCCCGAGCCAACGTAACTTATTCAGTGCTATCTGTTGTTCTAGCGACCAAGCATGATTATCACCACCTAGTAATCACCTAAGCACATCATCGTTGCGGACACGCTGGTGCCATCCGACTCCAGCAATGCTTCGCAGACAACGATGATCAAAAACTTGAAGGCGCCTCAGATCTTCAGACCGAAGGGGCCAAGTTTCACTACCATACAGCAGAACAGCCCTCACTGTGGCCTTGTATACACGGCCTTTCAGACGGAGAGAAACTCCCTTCTGTCGCCAAAGATGACGCAGGTTCAAGAAGGCAGCTCTGGCTTTTGCAATGCGTGCGCTGAAGTCAGTTTCAATGCGCCCATCATTGCTGATGCAGCTGCCAAGATTAGTGAATTGATCAACCACCTCGAGTTCTTCGTTAGCAGGCGTCAAGGGGTCATCAAGTGGCTGGTGGTCCTGCAGCAACACTTTGCACTTTGAAGGTGCGAAGTGCATACCAAATAATGGAACCACTCTGGATAGGCTATTCAAGGTTGACTGTGCCGTCTTAACATTGTCGAAAAGCAAGACGATATCGTCCGCATAATCTAGATCAACTAACCTTTCACCAGGCAGCACTTCAACGCCTACATCATGAGATTCCGCAAGGGAACACTACATGATAGAATCCACAACGAAATTGAACAACAACGGGGAAATCGGACAACCCTGACGAACGCCACTTGTAGTCGAAAAGCTATCCGATAGGGCACCATAGACCCTGACGCGGCTTGTAGTGTTCGAGTATAGAACACGAAGGATGTTCACATATTTCGTGGGAACACCTTTCCGCGCAAGTAATTCGAACAGAATCGATCGATCGACTGAATCGAACGCACTCCTGAAATTCAGGAACACAGCTATTGTCGGTCTGCGGTATGCGTGGCGCTGCTCTAGCACCTGCCGCAAAGTAAATATATGGTCTATACAGCCATGCCCTGGGCGAAAACCGGTCTGCTCTTCCCTAATCCGAGATTCCCGTCCTGCAGTGAGGCGACGAACAATAATCGAGGCCAGTAATGTTGTCACAACTGGCGTTAGGCTAATACCCCTGTGTTTCACACAGTCTGTACGACTGCCCTGCTTGTATATTGCCACTATAATCGATTCGCTCTAATTTGCTGGCATACTCTCTTCGTTCCAGATACGTTCGAACAGGGAGGTCAGTGCTTTGCAGAGGACCTCACCTCCATCCTTAAATAGTGCAGGTGGGAGGGAATCCGGGCCAGCGGCACGAAAGCGATTAAGTGCTGTGATCGCGTTTCGGACTTCGGCCTCCGACACAGGCTCTAAACTAACCGTCCATGGCTCGTCCTGCATCACCTGAGTAGGAAGAGGTCCGGGAGATGGGGGCCAGTTAAACTGATCCTGCAAGTGTTCCAACGAGTCATACGGCGCTCCCTATTGTGTATCAATGCACCCGTGCTGTCTCTGATTGTCTCACTGACGCCTGGTTTTATGGGACCATTGGTGCGGATCAGCTGGAAGAGCTTGCGGTAATTGCCTACTACACCTGCCTCCTCCATTTCTTGAGGCCGACTGGTCCACCAGGCTTCCTTGTCAGCACGTAGGCTCTGCTTTACTTCACGCCTAATAGCCCGTCTGGTCACATTGTGTTCAGAGCCAGCCGGGAGGTTTCTTCTAGATTCCAACATGTTCACCGACCTCTCGGATATCCAGTGACTGGTGCGGTGACGATTGATAGTGTCAAAAGCAGATGCTTCTGCGTCGTGCATTGCGGCGGAGATCCTATTCCACTGAAGTTCAGTGTCATTAGGACAAGACAGCGGAAGATCGGTATGCAGTGCATCCTGGTAGGCTTGCCTGACCGAGGACTGAGACAATTTCTCCGTTGCTAATCGGAGGGGACACTTGGTGCGCCTGCCGGTAAAGTTCATAGAGAAACGACAGCGTACCAAGGCATGATCAGAGTCGACACAGGTACTCCAGTACGAGCGGCAATCCAGTATGGAACCACGCCATCTGTAACTTATGGCTATGTGGTCAATTTGGGTCCATCGCTGGCCAGCTACAGGAGGACGCCAAGTGGCACTTCGGCGCCCACTGTGTCTAAAAGCAGTGTTAGTAAGAAACAACTGGTGCTCCGCACACAGTTGCCGCATACGCTCACCGTTGTCAGACCGTTCGGTGTTAACTCCATACTCACCACCTAGCTGAGCTTCTG